GAGAGTTTCTGTTTTTTTAAAATCTGCCCAGACACCCTGGGTCTTGTTTGGCTTTTGGTAAGAGAACATACGTGTTGAACCATGCAAACCGCACTCCCTGGAGGCCTTTAAGTCTACTCGGGCAGGACCACTCTCCCTTGTCCCCTCATGTGGCTTTCCATGACTTCCTTGCTCTCGCCAGCCTGCCCCATGGGACCCTCAGACCATCCCCATTGCCCAAGGGCGCTGGCCCACACCTCTGCCTCCCAGAGCCCACCCTGCAGAGGTGCCCCCCCGGGGCTCAGTCTTTCCCTAGACTCCCTCCTCCACAGGCCTGCCCCGTGGGGAATCTTAGCCCTGAGCTTGCAAGTGGCCCAAAGTGTTGGGATACACACGGAGAGGGGATGGGCCCAGAGAGCTGAGAGACCTGCGTTTTTTCCTTCTTCTCAGTTACAAAAAAAATCTTACCTTTTTTTGATCATAGGAGTGATACGTACTTATGACGAACGCACTCAGTGCTGCAGAAACTGGTATGCCGCGCATCACAACCGGGCCTGGCCCACCGTACACCCGCCCAGAAGGCTGCGTTCGCCTGCACTTGGGCACAGCTGCCTAACACGGCGAGCACACGCAGAGTACGGGGTGTTTGCCCTCGTGATCACGTGCGTGCCTAGCTCGGGGCTGTGGCTGCCCCTGCCCCGCGTCTCGGGGGAGTGCAGCACAGCTCATCACCAGCCCGGGGAAAGGTCAAACTGCAAAAACCCGAAGTACCGTTTCTGCCGAATGCTTACTGCTCTTGGGCTATCTTAGAGTGAAAGTGGAGCCACCACCAGTCGCTGTCTGCACACCCTTCCCTGGGTGGGAGGCGCTCTGCGTGATGTGTCCCCCAAGGACGGATGTTTGGGTCACCTGCAGTCTTCCCCGGGCTGTCAGTGATGCTTCAGTAAGTCGCTCCGAGCTGAACCTTTGCTCCTCTACGCCCCACCGTCTCTCAGACAAACTCCTGGGCATGGGGTTTCGGGTCGAGGGATGTGCTTGCTGTGAAACGTGACAGATGTTGCCCAACTGCTAGTGACATAAGAGACGTCCGCGCGGATCACCCCACAGCGCACACCTCTCTCACGCCAGCTCGGCCGTGTGTCCTGGGACACGTCCCCTCTTCCGGATCCCGGAGCGGAGGCTCTTCTGACCTGGCCTCCAGGAGACACTGCGCAGCCCCATTCTGCTCCCTGCTGCCACCACCCCTAGTCCAAATTATCCTCACACCTGTGTAGGCCAAAAAACTTTCCCCATGGCGTCTTATTTAACCCAGTCTCATGGGGAAGGAAGAAAAAATGTATCAACGCCACCTGGGGCGTGAGGGCCCGGGGTCAGGCAGTGGGTCCAGGGTCCCCAGGTGGACGGAGGACAGAGGTGAGGAGCCAGGGTCCTGCCTTCTCACCGAGTCCCTTTCCCAACACTCTGCCGCCACCCAAGATGGTGACGTGAGTCTGGGAAGAGCAGCGGGAGGGACGTTCTATCAGATAGGAATGAATTCCACCAACAGTTAGTTATTTCAGACACCTATGACGGGTGAGACGCCAGGGTACAAAGATGGGACAAGACCCACTCCCTGCCTCTAGGGAGGCCAGGGTCCAGCGGGGAAGACGGCCAGCCCTTGGGGCGTGTCCGCAGCACGGGGCATCCGAAGCCAGGCTGAGAGTGAGGCTGGGCAGGTCTCTATCAGCAGTGCTAAGGCTGAGCGGAGGCCGTCAATGTGAGCTGCGCCCAGAAGGAGGAGTGTGGGAGGAAAGGCACTTCAGAAACAGCAGACAGTGTGTGCCTGGCTCTACAGCCTTTCCCCTTCTGCACACAGTGACTAGACCTTCCTCGGTGGAGCCAGCCCGTGCCCACCTTCCTGGTTCCAGGATGCACATGTGACTGTGGCTGACCAATGATAGGCAAGGGACTGCTCAGGGATAGGCAAGGGATAGGCAAGGGACCAGCAGGCCAGGGAGACACAACCTGGGGAGTGGTATAGGAGCGATGGGAGGGAAAAACTCTCCAGTGGGCTGCTGGGTATTTCCACAGAGAGAAGGCCTGCCTGAGCAGGAAGCCAGCCCACAGGAAAGCAGAGCCACGGGGCTGAGAGAGGCAGAGACTGGCTGAGAAGAGTTAGTTCCTGGGCCCAGCTGGGCCTGGAGGGTCTGTCCCGGAACTTCAGTTGTATGGGCCAATCGGTTCTGACTTTTCGCTTAAATCAGGCTGACCAGGATTTTGGTCACCTGTGCCTGAGAGTGCAGACTAACGCAGCAGGATAAGAGGACAAGGGGGAGGGTGGAGAGGTGCGCAGGGGTCAGCTCATAGGCTCAGGTGTCGGCCAGGCTGCGGAGTTCAACATTTATCCACCCACCAAAACTGGGAAGATTCTAACCGCCAAGCAGAACTTCGATAGTGCCTTCTGCAAAGAAAATCTCTGCTGGCGGGGGGTGGGGTTGGGGGGAGAGAGAGAGAGGGAACGAGAAAGAGGGGGAAAGGGTCAATGACTCTTCTAGAAATTTCAGAGCCTTTAGGACATCTTTTCTGGGGCTTTCCCATCAGGAGAGATGGCCTAGTCTGAAATTGGAGCCACATTATTAATCCATTGGTGCTGATGGCACGTATCAATTTATCTTAATTTCTGAAAAGACACTCAGCTTTTCAGACCAGTCTCTCTCTCCATTACCAAGAAGAAAAGGGATCTTAGCAGAGATGAATCAGAGGGAGTTTGGCTCTTCGTGAATGCCCCGCTCCGGCTGAACTAGAACACCCGGCATTTCAGAGAGGCGTAGCCAGCAGACGAGTGAGCTGTCCTGCCCCCTCGGCGCGGTGACAGGCTGTCCGCGGGGGCCTCGGAGACAACGCATCGGCAGACGGACTGTGAGGGGCTCTGGGAACGCACGTTCTCAAAGCCCGGAGAGAGAAAGGGGAGGGGGACAAGCCTCCCTTTCAGACTGGGAGCCTCCTCACTGCACTGTCTTCCTTCCCCTCGGGAGCCGAGGACATAATTGGATCAAATGGAAACCGGAACCAGCCTCACGCCCCCTCCCAGATGAGAGGCTTCCAAAATGGATTCATTACAGAGTTTTTTGTAAGTAAACTGTGTGGAGAAAAATGCCCTTTGTAGGGCTGTAATTGCCCGATGAGCCTCGTTAGATGGCTCATCTACGTAGAATGAAGCCACTTTGGGTCTAGGAACTGCTCCGCGCAAACCTGTCTCCATTCACTCTTTCCCCTTTGTATTGGCCACAAAGGGCGGGTTTCTAAAGGGGGACTCCCTGACCAAGGAGGCTGGCTCTGGCCAGCGACACACTTGCTCTGAGTAGTAAACCAGCAAAGAATTATTAAGTTTCTTCTCTGTGTCAGACAGTCTTTCTGGCACTTGGGCTACAGCAGTAAGCGAAACACACAAAGACCCCTCCCTAATGAAGTTTAGTTCTGGTGAGAAGTCAGAACACAGATGTGCCCAACTCTGGAAACAAACTTGGCAGCAAGCTTCACAAATCAATTTGTGTAGCTGATGATCGAGGAACTGTGAAGTTGAAAGTCTTCTGACTCCTTGTTTGTGGTTTCACTATACCCACAAGGATGTGCCATTTGGAACGCTGGATGGCATGGGCGAGGGACACTATGTAAATGACATATACGCCATCACTCACTAAACCTGCACCCATGGCAGACACCACTGATCAATCACCACTCTTGTCCTGAGGAGCTGGGATGCAGCTCAGAATACATATCAGCACATAACCCGGGCAGCCCCTACCAATGGATCAGCGTGGCTGGGCCAGGAAACCTATTTGCTCTTTCTGACTTAGACTGCTATTAATTCACTTCACTGAGAGGCTGCAGAATACTCCAGCAAATTAAGAATAATACCAGGAGGAGGCAAAAGCTGAGAAGATAAGGTGAGAGACTGCAGCCAATTTCTCAGGCTAGTTTTTCTCAAGTGCTCTGCTCTGATGCCCCCGCCCCGCCGGAGGCCTACAGAACCGGCAGGTTGGAGCCGGGGCCCCACAGTCAGGCAGACCTGGGCTCTCTGTGACTTCCACCTGTGTGGGCCCTCGGTCGGAGCCCCTCTTGCCTCCCTGTGCGATGGGTGTGATAATGATACCCCCTACTAGGGTTGGGGCGAGGATCGTATTTGCCAACGCGTGAGCAGGGCTTGGCACAGGGGCCTGTGGGCAGCCCAGCTGTGGCGCGTCAGCGTGGACGCACAGCTGCTCACGGCCGGCACCTGCTCCGACTGGTCGGCACTCCTGTCATCAGGGTCGTTAAATGTTTCGAGTGTCACCCCTGGATATTAACATTAGTTTTATTTAGGGGCTGGTCCCCTGTTGGGAGACGACTTCAGAACTCTGGAGGTGGAACACACACATCACCATCTGTTAATGAAGAATTTATGATCCCCAGTTCTGAACTGCGCCATCAGTGCCGACGACGATAATGAATATAACCTTTTAAGGCATCTACTGAGGAGCCTCTGACAAGCACGGTCTCATGGAATCCTCTCAACACCCCCTCGAAGATTAAAGTGCCATTAAACCCGTTTTATGGGAGCAGGACGTGAAGGTCAGTGGGGTGAGGGTCCTTGTCCAAGATCACACGGCTGGTAGGAAGAGGCAGGGCTAGCATTTGACTCAGGCAACCTGACGCTGGCACTGATGTCTTCATTGCTGTGTGTGACAGTGGTCCTTGGCACTAAGAAATGGTGCCTGATTCGGAGTTGTGTATTCACAGGGCCTGGCCCAGTAACAGTGCCGCCGGTCAGCCCTTGTGAGTGGGGGATGTAAGAATGAATGTCCTGCTGACCGCAAGGGCACAGGAGAGGCTAGCCTTCCCCTCAGAGGGACCCGTTCTTCACCTGCGATCCCAGATAAAGGGAGAATGTGACTTCTTTGCCTCAGGGGCCCGAGGCCTCCAGTCTTTCCAGGCTCCGACAGGCACCAGGCAGGCAGCCTGCCGGGACAGGGGCCCAGGGGGCTTCTGGGGAGCTGGCTCACCTTGAACGAGATTTCATACTGCTCGCCTCCCCAGATCTCCAGGCCTGGGTCGTACCCGCCCAGCTCCCAGAACCACTTCCGATCCACGGCGAAGAGCCCACCGGCCATCACGGGAGACCTGTCCGGGAAGAAGAGCGTGGCGTGAAACGGGGACCCGATGGCCACGGGCTCCGAGGGCAGTCTGATACTGCCGCTCCCCTGGGGTGCGCTCCTCGCTGCCCCGGACACGCAGCCCACCTATCAGCAGGGAGCCCTTGGCCCTCGGAGTGAGGCCGCGGGCTTGTTTCTTCCTTACCTCCCCTCCCCTTCATAAATGCCACATTTTAACCCACGGGGCCCAAAGCTCCTTTACGTGCTAACGCTGAAGATCAGCTGTGAAATGAAATCACAGCACTTTCTCCCGTGGGCCTCCTAGCTGCATCATGCATCTCTCTCCCGTCCTCCCCTAGTTCCATGGTCTGACTCAAGGCCTCCCAGGCCTGACTGGGCTGCAGGGTGTCTCAGAGGCAGGAAACCGAGGGCTCCCGGGCCCCGCCCCAGCCCTGCACAACACTCTCTGGGGGGTGGAGCCTGGGAACCTGAGTTTCGGACCCGATCCTCTGAGGATTCTGAGGCAGTTCAGCACAAGCACTGTTCTGCCGAGAGCTGAGAGAAGCTGTTCAGTTACACGGGGCTAAGGTGAACGGCATGCGCTGAGCCTCTCCTCAGTGTAGTCGCCGAGTGCCAGCTGGGACGCAGAGGCGGGAGGGAGGGGGAGGTAGTTAGGGCCCGGCGGGGACTTTAGGGGATGCCATGTGGCAGGGCAGCTACCTCGGATGGAAGGACCCAGAAGACGGGTGGGCTGTAATAAGGGCCTCCGGGGGGTGCAGACAGCACTAACAGGAGCAGGAAAGGGGGCACGTCTGCCTCTGGGTTTCGGGGGCGAGGAGGGAGGGAAGAGTCAGGGAAGGAGGCCCAAAGGGGGTGGCACTACAGGTGGGTCTGGGTAAGTGGGAACTTGGGGGAGGGGACTCGGGAGAAAACAACAGGAGGGAAGCACAGAGCTAATACATTTTGGGGTGCCACGGGGACGGAGCAGACAGCCAGCATGGCATTGTGCCAGGCCCGTGGGGACACCTGCTGGGACCTGCCCCAGTCCCCCGTGGCGCCTCCCTCGGGGCCAGCTCCTGGGAGGGGCCAGCACTGTGCGCTGTGTGCAGACCTCTCCGAGTGGCTGTGTCCTTGTCCGGCTCCACTGGCGAACCCCAAACCTTCAAACCAGAAGGCATTCCAGCTGCACCCCCCAGGTCCCCTCTGGGTCCCCGGAACTACAAGCGAGCAGACTGATTTAAAAGGAACTTAGTTAACCCACATGCTTCCTATAGCAGATGAGCCCTCACAGCACCAGAGGGGACTCCTTTGAAAGGGGGTCCCACTGACTATTTACTGAGGGGTTGAATGTCCCAGGGGCTGCACTGAACTAATTTATTAATGAAACGACTTCATCCCTCACGCTGACCTCATGAGGTACGTACGCCTCCCCAGAACCACGCCATGTTACGCATGCAGAATCTAGGGCACAGACAGGTAACTTGCTCCAGGCCTCACAGCTGCCAGCCAGGATGGAAACCTCACATCTATGCCATGGTCCACACCTGTCGTGGCCACGGTCCACTGCCTCCCGACAGGGAGGAACAATCGAGAAGCAGGTGACGAGTAAAAGGGCGGGGATCAGAAATGGGGGAACCCTGACTGAGACCCTGGCTCCCCTAACCTTCGGTGTGACCTGCGGTGAAGGGTTCAACTGCCGAGCCCCGTGCTGCCCGCCACAGCAGCCCCTGGCCCATGTGGCGGCCGAGTGCTTGCGACGTGGCTGGTGGGACCGGACGCGCTGGCAGCGTGAGGCACACGCCGGGTGTTGGGGGCTCAGGATGAGAAGGCACAGGCAGGGTCTCAGTGATTTCCAAGTGTTGGCTACATGCTAAAATGAGAACGCTTCAGACGTACTGGGTTAGCTAAAATATATTACCAAAACGAATTTTACCTGCTTCTCTCTAGCTTTTTAAAACATATTTTATTTTGTCTTTATTTATTTATAATTTTTTCCATTAGCATTTAACCCTCCTCCCCTGCAATCACCACACAGTTGTCCATGTTCATGAGTCCTTTTTCCTTTGTGCTCAACTCCCCCCGCCCCAAGAGCTGTCATCCTGCTCTCCACCAATGAGTCTCTCTCAGTTTTGCTTCTCTTTGGCCTTTTCACGTGGCTACTTGGAAATTTAGAAGTCCACGCGACTTGCGTTATCTTTCTGCTGCACAGGGCTGAGTTGGCCTCTCTGAGCAGCTTCCCACCCACACAACGGGCCCATAGTGACGCCTCCTCGCGCACTCGCTAGGACGTTCCCGAAAGTCTCCAGGACTGTGAGAAAACAAGGGGTCAATGGTATCGACTCTCCTTTGTCTTCTGAAGGTTGCAGGGTTTGGGTTTTCTTACTGGAGCCTTCCGTCCACTGCTCACAGAGGCAGAGGGTTTCTGACTCTGTGCTGCACGAGAAAGCAAGCCCGGGCCTCTGCACACGACAATCAGCCGGCGGGGAAGCTGGGGGCGGGGGCCGAGGAGCTGCTGCTTCGGGGCCGAGGAGCTGCTGCTTCGGAGCCGCCTCTCAACAGGCGGCTGTTGGCCTTAAGGTGTTTTGGATGCTCGAGGCTCTGACTCCAGAGGGAGGCCTCTCCTCCAGTCTGGTCTGTTTTCTGCCGCGTTCAGCGCTAACGCTTAACACGTCTGAGTTCCGGTGTGGGCCACTCGCATTGCCTCCAGCTCTCAAAACGCCCTCTTACTAGCCCCCTTCTCAGATGGAGGAACTTGAAATTCAGAAATGCCACATGCTCTGCTCAAGGGCACGGATGGCTCCATAGTAAGTGGATGAGCTGTGATTCCCACCAGGGTCTGCCCCCAAAGCCCGAGTTTTGCAAACATCGTCACACCGTGCTGCGCCTACGGATTGCCCGTTTGCTGGCACTGTGGGGAAGCATGCAGAAAATGACCAGGGTTTCTCCTGCGGCCCCTCCCCTTGGTTTTGTCCAAGTGACAGGAGAGAGACTTCCGGACGGCATCAGAGGACACGAAGGAGCAGGAGGCCCTCAGTGGCTCTCTGCCTTGGCCACACGTCAGTGTCACCCGGGAACTTCAAAGAACAGCGGTGTCCGGATTTCACCCCCAGACTCGGGTGTCACTGGTCTGGGGGTGACCTGGGCGGGTTTTCTGTTTTGTTTTTTAATGAACGCCCCACGCAATGCCAATGGGCACCCAGGGGAGAGTGCTGCTGCCCTGGGGCCGGGCCAACCCCTGCAACACCCAGAGGAGGGGACGAGGCCCCGGAGGAAGCTGGCTGGGCCCCTGCTGCGGACCGGCTGCGCCCTGAACGTGCCCTTTCCTCATCTGCCGCGAGGAGGGTGCGGGCCGGACGCACCGTGTGTGCCTTTCTAGTCTCAGGGCCTGTGGATCAGCTCGTGGCAGAGGGTCAAACCATACAGGCGGTTCTGGTCGCCTCAAAAACCCTGTTTTCTGGTGCAGCCCACTCCGACCTCAGCCTCCACTACAAGTCCTCTTGGGCAAGCATGGTTTCCTCTCTGAGCTGGCGAGGGAGGGCTCGCACAGCGGTGCTGCACCCTGTGGAGGACACAGGAGGCCAGGAGGGGAACAGGTGCTGACCTGCTGAGGCGCGGGGCTCCACTCACGCCGGCTACTCTGGGCTCACGCTGCTCCGTCACCCCGGCCGCCTTCCATTTCTTCAAGGGAGCCCCCTCTGAGCCTGCGCTGCGGCCCACCGCGTCCGGGGCCCCTTCAGGAACCCTGGGTGTGCACTGCGCCCATGAAGGCAGCTCAGCTGCCGACAGCCCCCTTTCTGAGGTGGGGAGGGTGGGGGTACACAGAAGCTGGGGTTCACTGGGAGGTGTGGTGGACCAAATAACGCTCCCCCCAAGCAGTCAACGTCCTAATTGCTGGAACCTGTGAGTATGTTACCTTACACAGCAAAGGGGCTTTCCCAATGTGACCAGGGGCCTGGAGGTGGGCAGAGTACCTAGTGGGCCAATGCGATCACCAGGGTCCTTCTAAGTGAGAGCGGGTGGCAGAGTCACAGAAGGAGAGGCGATGATGAAAGCAGAAGATAAGGAGAGAGGGAGGGAGAGAGAGTTGAGGGGGTGGAAGAGGGGGGAGAGGGAGGGATCGGGATGGAGTGTCAAGGGTGGGAAGGAAGGGGGTGGGGGGAGGTGGTGGAGAGGGAAAGACCAGGAGACTTGAAGTTGCTGTGCTGCCCGCTGGCTTTGAGGATGCAGGAAGGGGCGGTGAGCCAAGGAATTCGAGAAGCCTCCAGAAGCTGGAAAAAGCAAGGAAATGGATTCCCCTCTGGGGCATCCAGAGGGAACGCGGCCCTGCTGACACTGTGATTTCAGGCCAGTAAGAATCATTGCAGGCTTCAGACCTCCAGGACCTTAAAAGAATAAATTTGTGGCTTTCTTTTGGAAGCCGGTAAGTTTGTGGTAATTTATTACTGCAGCAGCTGGGAAACTAATCCAGCAGGAGCCCGGGCTTGGCTTTGTACCCAAAGATCTCCTCCACGTCTCTGGCAGGAGAGGTGGCCTGGCTCGTGTGGATCGGGTGGCAGTGGCAGGATGGTGGGGCCGCAGTTCGAGGAGAGGTCCCTTCCAGAGCTGCAAGTACCGGAGAGGGACTGGGCTCTGTTTCTGGCTGAGCTGCTCACTCGCTGGGCACCGTGGGGGGCCTCAGACTCCTCCCCTGGGAGAGCTCGGAGCCCAGCCTATAGGTTCCTTCTAGCTTCCACATTCGAGATGCTGGGAGCCCATTCCACACCCCCCGAACCTCCCCCGTGGGGTGCGCTGTTGCTTCCCTAGCATTTCCACCAGGGTGTGACGGAATGGTGGGAAACCTGGCTCCCGGGGCACACAGACCTGCACGCGTATCCAGCCTTTGCCGCGTCATCACTGTGTGAGCTAGGCAAGTTGCTAAACTTCTTGGAACTTTAGTGTCCACATTGGAAAGCATGGGTAATAATTTAAGCCCTGGCTGGTATGGCTCAGTGGTTGAGTGCTGGCCTGTAAACCAAAGGGTCGCCAGTTCGATTCCCAGTCAGGGAGCATGCCTGGATTGTGGGCAAGGCCCCCAGTAGGGGGCATGCAAGAGGCAACCACACATTGATGTTTCTCTCCCTCCCTTTCTCCCACCCTTCCTCTCTTTCTAGAAATAAATAAAATCTTTAAAGGAAAAAATAAAAAACAAAAATAATTTAAATAACAATTGAGAGGGTTAAAGACGATCAGGTTGTAATGTGCTCTGCATGCAATGCCTGGCACTTAGAAAGTGTTCATAAGTGGTGGTGGTGGTGGTGGTGATGATGATGATGGCGGTGATAGTGATGATGATGATTACAACTGGGTGCCAGGCTCAAGGGAGGGGGCATGAGCAACTCTGCTGAGCCCTGGCTGGCGACTGTGGCAAACTGCACAGAGGTGGGCAAGGAAGGGTGACTAGCTTGGCAGTCCACGAGCTGAGGCTCTGTAACAAGCTGGGACAGGTTGTGCTTCTGGTTGGGGACATCTGCCTTGGCCCCTCTGCACTGGGCTTTTGGGGGAGGTGGTGACTCTGAGTTACGTGTGTTAGGGAGAGGTTATTGGTTGCACCACTGGGACCAGCCCAGGCCACGTGTACTTACTCAAATGGGTCACTGGGGTCGGCCTTCTGCAGCTCTGGAGGGATGGGGATCCGCTTATAGTACATCTCCCAGTCAAAGGCGCCCCGCATGGCGTCCCCTGCCTGCGTCTCATACCGGAAGTCGTCGTGATCAATCACGTCAATCATTGGGCACACGATGGTCTTGCGGTTCCGAGCGATGCGGTCTGAAGAAGCCAAGAGATGCCCGTTAGGGAGGCAGGCTGGGGGCGGGGCAGCTAAGTGCACAACCTGTTCTGCAGCTTATTTGCATTTTTAACATTGCATTTGCATGTTCCCTGGGTGATTTCTCTGAACACTTGAGCTTGAGAATCCTGGAGAGGAAGGGAGGGCACAGGCTTTAAGCAAGATGGACCATGGCTCCTGACCCAGTCTTCATGCCTGAGACAGGGACCCTGGGCCAGCTACGTAACTGACGTCTCTGAGCCCCACCATTCTCCTCTGGGGTTGTCAGTGATCTGTTAGGGCAGGTGATGTGCCGTGAGGAGCAAGTGGGCTGTGCTGGGATGCCTAGCAGCTTTGGGCCAGGAGTCAAGTTCAAGACTTGGAATGGGGAGCCTCGTAGAGTCAGAGTCAGCTGGCGGCTGCACTGTTTAACCACCCTCCACCCTGGCCCACTGAATCAGAGTTTCTGGGGGTGGAGGCGGATCAGCCTTGTGACAGGCCCCTGGGGATTAATGAAGCAGAACTTCTCCAGGGAAAGAGCTAGAGAAGGGCCTCCCTTTCTAATTATTCACGCCCATTCAGGGGATTTCACTTCCAGGGCAGGTTTGGGCTGCCGGCAGGGTGCCCTGCAGGGTGCTGGCTGACCGTGAGAGGTGTGAGGCCTAGGGCTGAGTCAGACAGGCGGCATTCAGTGCTGTGCTCCTCTGGGGACAGCATGTCCAGGTTTGAATCCTGGCTTTGTCACCTACAAGGAGTGTAACCTTGGAGGTTATCTGCTGTCTCCGATCTCCGTTTCCTGGCTGACCAAGTGGAGGAAGGCAGCACCTATCTCACGGGGGCTCTGAAGGCTGAGTGGGGCCGAGAGGCTTAGCACGGGATCAGCACCCCGGCACCCTCCGCGCCCAGGGTTGCTGGGAAGGAGCTCAGGGGCAGGCACGGGAAGGCTGAGCAGCTCCCTTGTTCTCCTCGCCCCCCAGTCTTCTCATGTGCAGGCTGTGGATGATACCGCCTGGCCTGCCTGTTCCACCACGTAACCATCCAATCCAAATGGGGATGTGGCCTAAAAAGCTAGGAGACTAGCAGAGCCAGGATGATGATGATGATGATGATGATATGGAGGAAATGATAATCCACAGTGGATGTCCTTTGGTGGGGCTGAATTCCTCCCACTCAGCATTGCTTGCTCTCCAGAGAAGGCGGACGGAGCTGTGTACAGAGGTGTTAATGGTTTCAGAGACAAACAGCATAATGTGCTCTGCTGCCGATCACATTAGCAGGGCAGACTTTTAAATCTACACCACTGGTTCCCATTTCTATTGCAAAAAGGAAAAAAAAGGGGGAATGCTTCTTCCAAGTGTGCCCGCAGATTATGAAAATTACCCTCGTGTATTTCCACAGGAAGAGCTACGGGCTATTCGGACGCCGGCTCAGCTTCCTGCCCCACCGCTCCATTCTCTTTATGAGCCACTGAACGACCCAACAAATGGGCTGTTCCTTCAGGGCTATAAATCAGCCTATTTATGCTGAGGCTTTTTTCCTTTTTTGTTCTTTCCCAGTAGTGAGAGGCAGACGCAGACATCTTGGTTTCATCCTTTCCCAGACCCCGTGGGATCCTGGACCGCGGGGGCAGCGGCACACTGGGGCTCCGTGCTGATCTGTGATCTGTGTCGGAGCGCAGCTTGCCGGGCTCGCCCACCTGACTGTGTGTGGACACTGCTTTCTGTCCTCACCTCTGGGCGGTGGCCTCGCCAGTGCTCCTCAAAGTGTGGCCCCTGGACCGGAAGCACTGGCATCGGCCGGGAGCTGGTGAGAAATGCAGCTTCTCAGGCCCCAGCCCGCAGGCCTCCAGGATCAGAAACTCTGGAGCGGGGCCCGGCACTCTGTATGTTACCAAGTCTTCCAGGTGATTCTGAAGCATGCGCAAGTTCGCCCTAAACCTCTGTCCTCTTTGCTCCCTCAGCATTCTGCCACGGAAAGCACACCCACCCACTTCTGAGGGGCTCCCTTTTCCACCAAGTAACTTCTCCAATCTGTCTCTATCGCCGTCCCTCACCTGACAGCCAGTCTCAACGGGACACCCGCCTCTTCAGTGTCGACCTGTCTGCACCAGCTCACTGCCTTTATCAAAGCTGAATTCTCCGGGGTTCGGGCCTGGCTCTCCAACCAGCTATGGGACAGCAGCATCCAGTCCTCGTGTCTCCTGCTGTTATCAGGGCTAAGGTGGACGACTCCTGGAGGGAGCTGCCCTCCGTCTATGGCCCTGCCCTGAGAGCTGCCAGCAACTCCAGAGAGGAAGTGACTTTGGGGAGGCCATGGGGAATCAGGGGAGACTTCGGAGCCAGACAGACGGTGATGATGCCACTTATGGCCCAAGGGAGTGAGTGAGTCACTCCTTACCTCTGAACTTCAGTTTCTTCTACTATAAAAAAGGGGTACTTTTTGACCTGGCATAGTTTTGTCAGAATTAGTGAAAATGCTTGCAGCCTTCCTGGCTCACAGCAGCAATGCAGTGAACGGTAATTGTTCTAAGCTGATAGGATGATATGGCCCCATAGTTTGGCACCTAACAGTACACAGGCTTGGCTTTCTGGGGGAGCAATCATGCTGCTAGCAACTCATGTGCTACATGACTTTGGGCAGTCACTAGCCCGCTCTCTCAGTCTCCACTTTCCCCCCTGTAAAATGAAGGGGGGGCAGGACTGAATGGGTTTTTGAGGTCTCTTTGAGCACTCTGAACTTCTGCGCCTCTTACGACACCTGGCATTGTACTGGATGCATCTCGGGAGGGCAAGGGAACACCTGTGGGTGACTCCCCGCAGAAGGCTGGGGCTGGTGGTGACTGGCTCATTCCAGGCCGCCCACCTCGCCTTGGGAGGGTCTCTTACCGAGCAAGGGAGGGAGCCAGTTGACATTGGCTTCACAGTGTGAGTCCAAGAATGTGATGACATCCCCGATTGCTGCCGAGGCCCCTAGCATCCGGGTCCGTATCAGCCCTTCCCGTTTCTTGGTTCGGAGAATCCTCACGCTGGGGAAATGGGCCATGTAGTCTTCAAGTGGCTTTTTCAGGTGCTCTGGGAGGGAGACAGAAGAGGACAGATGTGCGACAGGTAAGAAGAGCTGCTTAGTAACCATGCTCGTGGCCTCCTGCCCCTTACATGTGCACTGCACCTTAGAGTTTAGACACAGCTTTCTGCTACACGGCCTCACTGCGCCTTCCAGATAGGGCCAGGAAGGGCAGGGCCCGCCACCTGCGTTCTGCAAGTGGGTAAACCGAAGCTCAAAGAGGTCTGGGGACAGCACCAGACCCGGAGCACAGAGATCTTCTGTGAGCAGCTGTGCTTTAGGCCTGGCTGGGGCCCACTCCCTCATTTTCTGGTAACAATACTCTGATTTTTCTCTGGGAAACTGCTCCACTCCTTCTGAGCCCATCAGACTTGGGTGGGGCTGGCTCCATCTACTGGTTCCAAGGGGGTGGAGCATGGAGCTTGGGCCTGACCAATCAGGACATTCCTGTCCCTTGGCCTCAGTGATTGGTCCAGTGGATGGTCAGTGACCTGATCTGCTCAAATAATAAATTCAGAGTTTTTTTCAGAACTGCTAAAAAACCCAAAACAAAACCAAACCCCCAAATGAGGTCCTTTCTTTTTGCTAGAGTTAGTTATTGTTGGCCATGAGTCTGGAGCTGCTGGTGACATCTTTGGCAAAATGAGGTGGTAAGAGGTACTGGGGACACCTGCTGAGCCCAGTGCCAACGTGTAAGACAAGAGTTGAGAGACGAAGAGAGGCATTACCCTGATGACATTCTGAATTCTCAGATCCCCCCGACCATGCATGATGCAGATAGGTTTCTAGATGTCCTTATTATACATGACGACAAATTCCTTTTACTTACTCTAATGTCAGACGCATTTCTGCCCCATGCGTGAAAAGTTGTTTAGAATAAACCTGAAAGACAGTCTCTTTCTACTAAATGCTGGTGTCTTTTACTCTCAGAGTCTGAGCCCTTTATAAAAACTCTAGCATGACTACAAAAAACTACACTTCACATTGTATTTAAGATATATGCTTTCTCATCATTCCTAGTCAATATGGTACGAGAATTCCTTGCTGGTACAACTGGTAAGACAAAGAAATAAAAGGCATAATGATTGGGAAGAAAAAGGTAGTAATGTCTTTAACTGTAAATGACATGACTGTTCACATAGAAAATCCTGAGAGATCTACAAAAACTAGAACTAATAGGTAAACTTAACCTGGCTTCAGGATATGGGCCAATATTTTCAAATCAATTCTATTTCTATATACTAGCAAATAAGAACCAATTGGGAAATGCAATTAAAAATGGTAAAAATTCCTTTTACAGTTTAACCAAAGAAGTACAAATTATATACTTTGAAAACTACAAAACATTGTTGAAAGGAGTTAAAGACCAAAATAAATGGACAGATAGTTCATGTTCTTGGGTTGGATGACTTAATATTGTTAAGATGGTAATAATACCCCCCATATCGATCTACAGATTCGTGATTAAAAGCACAGCTGATATCTTTGCAGAAATTGGTAACTGACAGCTGATCCTAAAATTTATGAAAATGCAAGGGGTGAAGGGATCCAGGATAGCTAAAACAACTTTTTGATTACTTATACCTGAATGTTTCTAGAAACACTATTCACTAAAGCCAGATGGTGAAAATAACCCAAGTTTCCAATGCCTCATGAATGTATAAATAAATATAGAATATGTCCACACAATGGACTATTACTCAGCCATAAAAAGGAATAAAGAAGTGATACATGTTACATGTTACATGGATAAATCTCAAAAACATTATACGAAGGAAAAGAAGCCAGACACAAAAGGTTCCACACTGCATGACTCCGTCTGTAGGAAATTCCAGAACAGGTAATCCGTAAGGATAGAAAGCAGACTAGCGATTGGCAGGGGCCGGGCCGGGCGAGTGGGGAGCGCCTGCTGAAGGTTCATGGGGTTTCCTTTCAGGATGACAAAAATATTCTGAAACTAGATAGTGGCAATGGTGACAGAGCACTGCGAACATTCTAAATGCCGATTAATTGCATATTTGAACACGGTTAATGTTATGTGAATTTTACCTCAAAGAAAAAAATGGAAAAAGGATATAAATGGCCGATAAGCATGTGAAGAAATGCTTACCACCATTAGACACCAGGGAAATGCAAATCAAAACCGCAGTGGGGTACTGTACGGCTTCACACCCACCAGGGCCGATACGATCGGAAAGTCGGATGACGAGTGCTGACAAGGATTTGGGGGAATAAGAATCTTTGTACATCGTTGGTGGGAATGTAATGTGGTGCAGCCACTTTAGAAAACAGTCTGGCAGTTTTCCGCACAGTTCAACCCATTTATAACCCAGCAATTCCCCTCCTCAGTGTATCCCCAGATAAATGAAAACACGTGCCCACACAAAAACTCGTACACGCATGTTCACAGCAGCAACATGCATAGCAGAAAACTCTGAAAACCATCCAAATGTCCATCAAATGATGAACGGATAAACAAAATGTACAATAGTGTGGCCATATAATAGGATGCTATTCTGCAATAAAATAGGATCGAGCTATTGCAATAATATGGACGAGCCATAAAAACATTATACTAGGCTGAAGAAGTCAGACATATAAGACTAGATATCACGTGACTGTTCATGTGAAGTTTCTAGAAAGGTAGAACTCCAGAGACAGAAAGGAAATCAGTGGCTGCCTGAAGTCGGGCTGAGACTGATGTCAAACAGGCACAAGAGAACGTTCTGGAGTGATGGAAATACTCTAAACTGGGTTATGGTGATAGTTTCACAACTATACAAAATTCACTTTAAAAACACACTGAACTACACACTTAAAATGGGTGATTTTTATGATATGTAAATTATACCGCTATGAGGCTGTTAAATTCTAAAGAAAAAAAAAAATCAATTGTATTTGTATATACTGGCAAAACACAACTGGAAAGTACAACAAAAATAGCATTTGTAATAGTCTCATATATAAAGACCCAAATAAATGGAGCGATAAATAATATTTATAGGTTACAAGACTCCATATAAAAGCCAGTTCTCAGCCCAGAAATAAACTCACACTCAATTAATATTTGACAAAGGAGGAAAAAACTCACAAGGGGGTGAGGACAATCTAGTCAATGAATGGTGCTGGGAAAACTGCACAGATACCTGCAAAAAAGTGGAACTACACCATCTTCCTGCACCACACACAAGAATCAACTCAAAATGGATAAAAGACTTACATGTTAGATCGAAACCATAAACATCCTAGAAAACAACACAGGCAGTAAACTCTCGAACATTTCTCATAGCAGTATTTTTTCTGATATATTGCCCCGGGCAAGGGAAACAAAAGAAAAAATAAACAAACCGGACTATATCAAACTAAAAAGTTTTTGCACAGTAAAGGAAATCACCAACAAAATGAAAAGACGACAACACACCAAATGTGAAAGCATATTTGCTAATGATACATCTGATAAGGGTTAATATCCAAAATTTATAATGAACTCTTATAACACTGAAAACCAAACAATCCAATTAAAAAATGGGCAAAGGACCTGAATAGACACTTGTCTAGAGGACATACAGATTCTAGACACATGAAAAGATGCTTGACATCACCGATTATCAGAGAAATGCAAATTAAAATCACAATGATGTATCACTTCACACCGGTCAGAATGGCCATCATCATCAAACCAACAAACAAGTGTTGGTGAGGATGCAGTGGAAAGGGGACCCTTGTGCCTTGTTGGCGGAATGCAGGCTGGTGCAGCCACTGTGGAAAGCCGTATGGAGTTGCCTCAAAAGTTAAAAGTGGAACTGCCTTATGATCCAGTGATTCTCCTTCTGGGAATATGTCCAAAGAAACCCAAAACACTACTTTGAAAGAATATATCCACCTTTATGTTCATTGTTGAGCTATTTACAATAGCCAAAATTGGGAAGCAGCCCAAGTGCCCAGCAGTAGGTGAGTGGATAACAAAGCTGTGGTACATTCACACAATGGAACACTACCAAACGTACAAAAGAAGAAATCTTACCTATTGCAACAGCACGAATGGACCTGGAGAGTATGAAGCTAAGTGAAATAAGCCAGCCAGAGAAAAGCAAGTACTATATGACTTCACTTACATGTGGAAGCTAATGAACAAAATAAACTGACAAACAAAACAGAAACAGACTCAGAGGTACAGAGAGGAGACCGACAGTGGTCAGAGGGAGGTGGGTTGGGGGAGCTGAGTGAAAAAAGTGAAAGGATTAAGCAAAGAAAAGAACAAATTTAGACAAAGACAGCAGACTACCGGGGGAAGGGGGTGGGGGGAGGTAAAGGAGGGCAAAGGGAGGATAAATGGTGATGGAAGGAGGCTTTTGGGGTGGTCAACACACAATACAATATACAGATGATGTGTCACAGAACTGTATACTTGAAACCTATATGACTTCATTAACCAATGTCGCTCCAATAAATTCAATAAAAATTTTAAAAAGAGCCTGTTCCCAAACTGATCTATAGATTCAATGCAACCCCAATAAAATCACAGCATACTCTTTTAAACTGACAACTTGGTTCTATGATTTCTGTGGAAATGCAAAGAACCTACAGTAGTCTAAATAATTTTGAAAAAGAACAAAGTTCGAGAACTGACACTGATTTCAAAAACTCATTCTAAGGCCCAAACAATCAAACTAGTGTGGTACCAACAAAGAATAAACAAAGAAAAGGGTTCAAAAGAACATAATGGAGAGGTCAGAAGGAGACCCATACATACATGTTGTTGAGTGATTTTTGACAAAGGCACCAAGGCAATTCAGGGAGGAGTTAAAAGAAATTTCAGCAATTTCTGCTAGAATGCCTGGATAAAAGTATCAAAAAAGATGAACCTCAACGGCCTACCTCATACCATACACAAAAAATAATATTAGATGGATCACAGACTTAAACATAAAGGTTAAAGCTATAAATCTTCTTGAAGAAAATATAGGAGAATATCTTTGTGAACTTAGGGTAGGAAAAAATTTCTTAG